ACTTGGTATAGTTTTATACTTGTTGATGTTGAAAAATAAGATGTGAGATATGGTTAGCTACAAAATTACAGATTCATTTGGGGCAGGAAGTAATTTGGAAGTAATTTCAAATGCAAATTCAATTTTATTTGGGTTAATACTTAAACTTACTTGGACTAAACTTAAGTTTTGTAATATAAATTATGCTTCTCTAAACCTGAAGGAGGATTGTATTGTAATAGTGAACTGTGGTAACATATTCTTATGAAAGGTTACATGTGATTTAAAATTGTTTTCATATGGGTAACACATTTAGAGGGTTCAAAAATCAAAAAGTAAAAGCAGGTGTATTTCTTTCTTTCTTTTTTTTTGAGTTGGAGTCTCACTCCTTTGTCCAGGCTGGAATGTAATGGCATACTCGCTCATGGCTACCCCAGTGTCGACCTGCTGGGCTCCAGCGATCCTTCCGCCTCAGCCTTCCGGATAGCCGGAACTACAGACACGCACTACCACACCTGGCTATTTTTTATTTTATTGTAGAGACGAGGTCTCGCCAAGTTACCCGGGCTGGTCTTGAACCCGCGGGCTCAGGCAATCCACTGGCCTTGGCCTCCCAAAATGCTGGGATTATAGGCTGAGCCACTGAGCCTGGCCAGCAGGTATATTTCAACATGTCCTCTTCCTACTATTTATTCTCTATCTTCCCAGCAACTCTACCAAAAAGAGGAAACTATTATTGGTAATCTATTAATCTTTTCACAATTTTCATGCCCACACAAGTAAATATGCATGTGTTGTTTCTCCTTTCTACCAAAATGGTAGCATTCTATGCTTACCTTTCTTTTTTCACTTAACTTTTCAGATATTTTAATTCCTTTTTTTAGAGCTACATAATATTCCTTCATGTGGATATGCCAGGTATTCTGTAGGATGTCCTTGTATTTGAATTTGGCTGATGTTTTTCTCATGGTTTTACTGAGGTTAGGGTTTTGGGGAAGAAGACCGTAGGGCGAAGTATCATTTTCTAATATATCAAGAGTATATGCTTACCAGCATGATTTATCACTGATTCACTAAGTCTGTTTAATGTTGTTTTTTTCCCTTCTAGCTTATGAGGTAGATAATTTATGTAATTAAAAAATTTTAAATTGACACAATAATTGTGCATATTCATGGGGTACATAGTGATGTGCTGCATATGATATATGATGATCAGATCAGGGTAATTAGAATATCCATCATCTTCAACATTTATTACTTCTTTGTGTTGGGAACATTCAATATCTTCCTTATAGGTATATGAAACTATACATTATTAACTATAGTCATCCCACAGTGCTGCAGAACACTAGAACTTACTTACCTCTCCTATCTAGCTGTAATTTTGTATCCTTTAACAAATTTCTCCCTCTCTTTCCCAGTCTCTAGTATCTTTTGTTCTACTTTTTACTTCTATGAGATCAACTTCTTTTTAGCTTCTACATATGAATGAGAACATGTGGCATTTAAGTTTCTGTTCCTGGCTTATTTCACTTAACATAATTCTAGTTGTAATCCATATTGTTGCGAATAACAGGATTTCATTATTTTCTGGCTGAATAGTATTTCATTGTGTATATATATGTTGCTTTTTTTGTGTGTGTGTCATGGTCTCACTCTGATGCTCAGGCTGGAGGGCAGTGGCATGATCACAGCTCTTTGCAGCCTTAATCTCATGGGTTTAGGTGATTCTTTTGCCTTAGCCTCTGGAGCAGCATGGACTACAGGTGTATGCCACCACGCCTGGCTAATTTATTGATTTTCTTTGTGGAGATGAGGTTTTTCTATGTTGCCTAGGCTGGTCTTGAACTCCTGGGCTTCAAGACTTGCAAAGTGTTGGGATTATAGGTGTGAGCTACCATGCCAGGCCCCATTTTATCCATTCATCTGTCATACCCCTTAGGTTGATTCCATATCTTGACTATTGCAGATAACATTTAGTGTTGTTATAAAGGAATACCTGAGGCTGGGTAATTTATGAAGGAAAGAGATTTATTTGGCTCATGGTGCTGCAGGCTGTACATGAATCATGGCACTGGCATCTGCTCAGGTTCTGGTAAGGGCCTCAGGCTGCCTCCACTCATGGCGGAGGGGAGCTGGTGTGTGTGTAGATCACATGGGAAGAGAGGAGGCAAGAGAGAGAGAGGAAAGGTACCAGGTTCTTTTAAACAACTGACTGTCAGAGGAACTTTCTTGGGAGTGAATAAAAGTGCAAACTCATTCAGTCCCCTCCCCGACCCAAGGAGGGGCTTTATTTATTCATGAGGGATTCACTCCCAAGACCTGAACACCTCCTGTTAGACCTTATTTCCAACATTGGAATACAATTTCAACATGATGTTGGGAGGGGTAAAACATCCAAACTATAGTACTGATGTTGTTGACCTTAATCACCAGGTTGAGATGGTGTTTGCCAGGTTTCTTCTCTTTCATGTTACTCTCCCCTTTCTTTCCATACTGTACTCTTCAGAAACAAGTTGCCAAGTATAGCCCTATTTAAGGTGGGGAGGAGGGAGCACTTATTTATTATATTTTAAAATGCTGCATTTTATGACTCATTTTGAAATGTGAGAATGATGATGGTTTACTCTAGTTTTCCTTCCAACTGGCCAAAGTTCTGTTAATTCCTCTTGATGTTTATTAGGTGTTTTCTGTCAGAGATCACAACGTTTAGATGATTTCTGGGAGACATCCTAAGGAGTCGGGCCAGACCTGGGCATTTGTTCTCAGCTGGTGTGTTAAAGACCACCCTCATGGGTGGGTTATGTTGAGCAAGGTAGAACAGCGGTACCCAACCTTTTTGGCATCAGGTCGAGTTTCATGGAATTCAATTTTTTAATGGATGACTGAGAGGATAGTTTTAGGATGATTCAAGTGCATTACATTTATTGTGCACTTTATTTCTATTTTTATTATTACATTGTAATATATAATGAAATAATTATACAACTCACCGTAATGCAGAATGAGGAGCCATGAGGTTGTTTTCCTGCAACCAGATGGCCCCATCTGGGGGTGATGGTGACAGGAGACAGTGAGATCTCAAATCATCAGGGATTAGCTGCTCATAAAGAGTGCGTAGCCTAGATTCCTCGTGTGTGCATTTCACAGTAGGGTTTGTGCTCCTATGATTATCTAATGCCACTGCTAATCTGACAGGAAGCAGAACTCAGGTGGTAGTATTAGTGAGTGATGGGGAACAACTGTAAATACAAATGAAGCTTCGCTGGCTCACCCACCCAGCACTCACCTCCTGCTGTGTGGCCTGGTTCCTAATAGGCCATGGACCAGTACTAATAGCTTGGGGGTTGGGGACTCCTAGGCTAGAAGATGTCTGGTTTAAGCGCCATTAAAAAGTGAGCAAAAGACATCAATAGACACTTCTCAAAAGAAGATATATGGGCAGCCAACAGACATGTGAAAAAGTGCTCAGCCTCACTCATCATCAGAGAAATGCAGTTCAAAACCACATTGAGATACCACCTAACCCCAGTAAGAATGGCCATCATTAATAAAACAAACAACAACAGATGCAGGTGAGGATGTAGAGAAAAAGGAATGCTTCTACACTGCTGGTGGAAATGCAAACTAGTGAAACCTCTTTGGAAGACAGTGTGGTGATTTCTGAAAAACTAGAAATTGACCTTCCATATGACTCAGCAATTCCCCTATTGGGATTATACCCGGAGGAACTCAAATCATTCTACAAAAAAGACACCTGCATATGTATGTTTGTTGCAGCTCTGTTCACAATAGCAAAAACACGGAACCAACCATGTTGCCCATTGAAGCTAGACTGGATAAAAATATGTGTTACATATACACAGTGGAATATTATGCAGCCATAAAGAAGGACCAACATATGGACTTCGCAGCAACTTGGATGGATTTAGAGTTGATCCTACTCAGTGATCTATCACAGAAGCAAAGAACAGAGTACCATATGTTTTCACTCATAAGCAAACCTTGAACAATTATTATAATGCTATAAGAAAGGGATCGGCAGTAGTGAGAAACTATCAGGGTAGGGGGAGTGGAATTGGCAGTTGAGGGAAACTGCTAGGGGCGGGAGGGGCGCATCTCATCAACAAGGGTACCTACCTGCATAATCAACGTTTGTCTACCTAATCCTTAATTGTACCCCACATCTTTATAATAAAAAAAGAAGCTGTCTGGTTTCGCAATATTTACCAAGCATCCTATTTTTGGTACTTGATAGATGCCCAGTAAATCATTCAGTGAATTAACATGCAGGACTTAATTGTATATAGTTGTTCCTTGACTTATGGTGGGATAAACTGATAAATTCATTGTAAATGAAATTGTCATTAAGTTGAAAATGCATTTACTACACCTAGCCTGTTGAATATCATAGTTTAGCCTATCCTACCCTAAATGTACATAGAATACTTACATTAGCCTACAGTTGGGCAAAATCATCTAACACAAAGCCTATTTATTATAAGGTTTCTTGTCCTGAGTAGTGCTTGACATACAACGAGGACTCAGATACTGACTGCAAATACAAATTTTTGGTTCTTTTTTTAAAAATTTTTTTGAGTTGGGATCTCACTCTGTTGCTCAGGCTGCAATGCAGTGACATGATCATGACGATCACAGCTCACAGCAGCCTCCACCTCCTGAGCTCAGGTGATTCTTCCACCTCAGCCTCCCAAGTAGCTGGGACTACAGGCCCACACCACCATGCCCAGCTATTTAAAAAAATTTTTTTTTGTAGAGACAAGATGTTGCTGTGTTATGCAGGCTGGTCTCAAACTCCTGAGCTCAAGCAATCCACCCACCTCATCCTCCCAAAGTGCTGGGATTATAAGCATGAGACACTGTGCCCAGCCACACATTTTTAATTTTTTGGGGGAGGGATTTATAGTGAAATACTAATTAAGAGAGTCACCTATCCAACGCTAGAATTTCCTCTGAAATCCTGTTTTGGTATCACAATTTTTTTCTTTTACTGTTTTTAGCTTTCTCTTCATCTCCTGGAGGAACCAGTGATAACTAAAGATATATACGAAGTTGCCATTTCTCTCATCCAGATGTTTGATGACTTGGATATGAAGGAGAGTGGGTAAGACACTCCATTTGGCAGTGCATGTTAATATATTTGCTATTTTATTTTATTTTATTTTTGAGTTGGAATCTCACTCTGTCGCCCAGACTGGAGTGCAGTGGCCGCTTTCCGGCCACTGCAGCCTCGACCTTTTGGGTTCTGGCGATCCTTCCACCTCAGCCTTCCGAGTAACTGGAATTACAGGCATGCACTACCATGCCTGGCTGATTTTTTGATTTATTGTAGAGATGAGGTCTCGCCAAGTTGCCCAGGCGGGTCTCAAACCCGCGGGCTCAGGCAATCTACTCACCTCAGCCTCCCAAATGTATTTGCTATTTTAAAACTTGGTTAATCATTTGGAAGCTTTTTAGTGTTTTTGCAACACAGGAAGACCCCCAACACGAAATGAGTTCTGTTCCGAGAGTGTTTCTAATTTGTTGTAAGTCTAACAAAGTTAGCCTAGGTACCCAATGAACACAATCGCTATGTAGTACTGTATATATTGAACAGACTATACTGACACTGTTATGTGGAAAGAATACATACAACAATGCAGGTGTGCATCTTTAAAGCTTGTAACTTGAAGGTTTGTATGTGGGGGAGTTACTCTATTCAGAAATAGCTGTAGACTTTTTTTAGCAATTACTATATATTTTTTATTTTTTTATTTTTTTGGTCTTGAAACCAATTGCATAGGTTCCAATCCACTTACTATTTTTAAATTTTTAATCTTGAAACTATTAAAATATTGAAATTTATTCGGAATTATTTTATTTTGAAATTATTACTCACAGAATATTGCAAAGAAATACACAGGGAGGCTTCATGCACCTTTTACCCCACCTCTCTCAATGCTAACATCTTGCATAACTACAGTAAAATATCAAAATCAAGAGCTTGACATTGGTGCAATCCTCAGAGTTGATTCTGATTTTGCCAGCAATACATTCACTCATGAGTGTGTGTATATGTGTGGATCTGTGCAATTTTATTACTTGTGTAGATTTGCGTAACCACTAACACGATCAAGGTAACTATTGAAATAAAATTGGTCTAGGGATATAACACAGGTTGTAAAGATAAGAATTGTTCCATGAAACTGCCCAGTTATACATTCATTTATATCAATTTTCACACTCATATTACATACACGAATCACTATATATTATATTTTTTGAGTTGGAGTCTCACTCTATCACCCAGACTGAAGTGCAGTGGCACACTCACAGCCACCCCAGTGTTGACCTGCTGGGCTCTGGCGATCCTTCTGCCTCAGCCTTCCAAGTAGCCAGAACTACAGGGGTGCACCACCACGTCCAGCTAATTTTTGATTTATTGTAGAGATGAGGTTTTGCCAAGTTGCCCGGGCTGGTCTCGAACCCACGGGCTCAGGCAATCCACTCGTCTCGGCCTCCCAAAGTGCTAGGATTACAGGCTGAGTCACTGAGCCTGGCCTGAATCACTATGTATTTTAAAATCAAGTTAGTATTTTAGAAATTTTGTGCTGGAAACTTTCACTTTGAAATAGTTAAAGCCATGCTGTATACAGTCTTACGTCTGATAGTTTTTAAAACTAGGATTTATAGCCTGAAGATAATTTTTTCAGGCATGCAGAAGTCCTACCTACCATTCAAAACCTTGAGGTAAAACGTTAAGTACTACATTATTAGATACTGTTGAAAGCCTTTCTTTGCCTTTGTTTTCATTTTCTCTAAAGATATATCCCTGGCGCTAAGCAGCCTTTTGTAACACAGACATTCGTTCATTTAGTGATTCTTTGAAAACTGGAACATGTTTTCTCTTGGGAATGGTTTTAGGTCATAAGTGGTGGTTAGAGTTTACAATTTTAAAAATATCATACTATACCTTATCATTGAACCTTTACTGTGTTAATTTTACTCTAGCTCTCTCTTCATAGTTTTGCCTTTACCAGAATGTCATATAGTTGGAATCATACAATATGTAGCCTTTTCTGACTAACCTCTTTTACTTAGTTTTATGCATTTAGCTTCCCTTTATGTCTTTTCATGACTTGATAGCTCATTTTTATTTAGCACTGTATAATACTGCATCATTCGGATATTCCACGATTTAATTACCCATTCACCTACTGAGTTTCCTACTATTCAAATGTAAATAACATTTTTAAAGTTAAAATTTTTTTGTGGAGACAGGGTTCACTATGTTGCCTTGAGCTCCTGGTCCTAAGGAATCTTCCTGCCTAGGCCTCCCAAAGTTCTGGGATTACAGGTGTAAGCCAATGCACCTGGCCGTATAAATACCATTTGTATTTTGGAACAATAAAAAACGAGAATGTAGATTTTACTACCTCATAGCAACCTGAACTAGAATGCTAGGACAGCTTTCTCTTATAGTCCTTAGTCATTCCTCCCCTACTTCAAAACATACCATATTTCTCTTCTTTAAGATTGTGAAATTTAAACATATATAAAATCTAAATCTACTAATTGCCTTACTTCTGAACAATATCTTAGAATGAGGTAGCTGTATTCTAGTCATTTCTAGCATTCATGCAGTTGTAATTGTAGATGATTTTGGCTGTTTTTTAGCTTCCACAAATTTGATGCTATTTTAAAATATCATTACTATGTTTTGATTTATCCAAATGTATATCATTTTATTTATTTATAATTCCATCTGGCTTCATAGACGTTTCTTTTTGGATCATTATAATTTATTTTTTTCCCCTATATTTTGATGTTATTTTCCCTTAATCTTCTGGCTTCTATATTATAGCAGGAAGTTACCTTTTCCTTGAATTTTAAAAGTTTTTTAGAGATGAGTTCCTACTCTGTCACTCAGGCTGGAGTGCAGTGGCATGATCTTGGCTCACTGTAGCCTCAAGCTCCTGGGCTCCAGTGGTGCTGCCTTGGCCTCTCAAGTAGCTCAGACTTCAGGCCCGAGCTACTGTGCCTGACTTACCTTTTGATCTAATTATTCTTTATAATAAATCTGTCTTTTTGCTCTGACTAGCTTCCAGATATATTCATTGTCTTTCATGTTCAACGGTTTCACTGCTGTGAGTAGGTATAGATTTCATTTCTCTGTTTGAGGTTCAGTGGGTTTACTAAGTCTCAACATTGGTGTCTTTGACTCTGCCCAGTAACCTTTTTCATCTAATACTTTAGCATCCACTGATAATCTTGCCTGAGTCTGTTATTACATTAGTGATGTTCTTATTTTACCTTTTGTTCCATATTTATTTCCTGAGGTTATTCTATAACGAAGAATTTTTATTTTATTACCCTGCTTTTCTCCTTCTCTTTTTAACTGTCACAATGAACACCCCCCCCCCC